CGCTGCCGGCGTGAAAAGAGGGGGTTTGGAGGAAGGGGGATTGTGGCAGGGCCGGGGGGATGTACGCGCCTCACTCCTCAGCCTGCTTCCTAGTTTTCCCACTCCCCAAACTGCATGCTGGAGCAGTGTAAAGGGGATGCCTTTGCTTCAAACAATTGCTGAAATCCTTGTTACAAGCACCCCGGCTTCACAGATTTACTGTTCCTCTCAAGATGTGGATATTGCCAGAGCAGGTGTAAGGATGAATGAAGCATTTACATATTCTGTCAAGAGCAAAATAGAAGATGGCATATTTATTTACAAGGCTGCAAAGGTAAAGACAACAGCTGCTGTATTTACTTAGTTCAGTAACCTTTCAAAAAAGCTCTCTTGCCAGCCACCTTAACTGAGGACTAGCTCCAGCCAGCATTGCTGCCCTTCTGGCAGGGTCTAGCTTCGTTACATCCATCGATAGGTTCAACTTAGTATTTTACTGTGTGCCTGATGCCTCTCGCCTAGGCATAACTTCTGAGGTTCAAGGGAGTGTCTTCCCAGTGCCTAGTTGGAGGACCCGATTCACCGAACAGTGCTTCAGCCCTAGTTGTTGCTCCCAAGAACGGGAACCGGGAGACTTTGCTTACTCTGGCTACAGCACTGATGCTCAGACAATTCTCATCCCAAACCTTACAGAAGCTGCTATCCAGAACAGGAATGCTCCTTTACTTTCTGTCCGTTAGGTAAATTTGCATTAATATTCCAGGTAGTTTCAGGGATCAGCAACCTTATCTTCCATCTTCTGTCCTCCTTTTCTTCCAAAGGAGACTCTGAACAAGAGCTCTTCCTTTGTCAAAGGTAATGCTCCTTGCTTTGGTTATTGCTCAATATTATGCTCTTATCAGAGGACAGAATGTAAATGGAGTATCAAGGAGTAACTTCAGCGATTTATAGTTGTTTTTCAAATTCAAAACATGTCTTGAGAATCCCCTTAGATCTTTACTAATTCGGGCTATCTCTTCACAAAGGGCTTTGCTGTTGGTCCTTCAGCACTTCTGAGACTGTTAACGGAATGCTCCTAGCTTGTTGCAAAATAGATTTCTTTGATGACTAAATAAAGAGCCAGGAGTTTCAATTCTCCTACCCCTGTTTATTTCATTTCCCAAGTCAATTTAATTGTAGCATTTATTTTTTTGGTCTACCAGCAGACATAAATGCATGCCATGAGTTTTAGTAATTAGAGTGCTTGTATAATATATGGCTGTAACAGCCTGCAGTTCTTCCCTTTCCTTCTCTTACAAATAGTCAACAGTGGCGTTTCACTCATCTCAGAGGTGTTGCTATTGTGCTCTACTCC